GGCGGGGGACGGGGCACGGGCAGGGCAGCTGGGGTCCAGACCGGCTCCATCCCACGGAACTTCCCTGCCTTTCTTGCCACAGCTGGAGGTAGACCTGCTGAAGGCTGAGAATGACCGGCTAAAGGTCGCCCCCGGTCCCCCGGCGGGCTCCACTCCGGGGCAGGTCCCGGGGTCATCTGTCCTGCTGTCCCCTCGCCGCTCCCTGGGCCTCGCGCTCACCCATCCCTTTGGCCCGAGTCTCGCAGACACAGGTACCTGTTGGGAGAAGGGCCTGGTTGGGGAGAGAAAGGGAAGAGGCTCGCCTCCCACTGCTCAGGGGCGTCTTCCTCGGGTCGGAGGGTAACAGGGTCGCCCCAGGCCGATGCCGGGGCCCTGAGACACCAAGGCCAGCTGTGGTCCTTGTCCCGTAACCGCTGTTCAGGTTTGGGCCCTGTTTTTCCTTCGTGGTAAATGGGACTTGTCTGGAAAGGACAGCGGCAGGGAGGTGTAGGGAAGCCTGTGGGCACCCCTGAAACCAGCGTCCCCCCGCAGACCTGTCACCCATGGATGGCGTCAGCACTGGCGGTCCGCGGGAGGATGTGAGTCTGCGTGTGGTGGTGAGGATGCCGCCCCAGCACATCATCAAAGGGGTAAGCAGCTCGGGCGCGGTGACGCTGCCGTCTTCACCCAGGAGTCTGGCTCCCAGGCCCCCCTCAGACAACCCACTCCAGCCCTCGGCTCTCGCTTCCTTGGAGGCGTCTGCCCCGGGCTCACCCGCGTCTGCCTTGGCCTCACAGGACTTGAAGCAGCAGGAGTTCTTCCTGGGATGCAGCAAGGTCAGCGGGAAGGTCGACTGGAAGATGCTGGACGAAGCCGTCTTCCAGGTGTTCCAGGTAACAGCGCGCCTCGCAGAGGCTGCTCATCCCCTGTGGGCTCCGGGCTCTCTGGAGAAGCCTGGAGAACCCTGAGTCTCCGACACACCTCCCGCCTCCCGCCTCCCGCCTCCACCCGCTTCCGCTCCCTCCAGCACCGGCCTCCTCGGGGCCTCCGCGGGGGTGAGTGCATCCTCTTGGAGGCTGTCTCCACCGGCTCCCTCTTCTCCCTCCTCCCCGGCAGGACTACATCTCTAAGATGGACCCGGCCTCCACGCTGGGCCTGAGCACCGAGTCCATCCACGGCTACAGTGTCAGCCACGTGAAGCGGCTCCTGGACACGGAGCCCCCAGAGCTGCCCCCCTGCCGCCGAGGGGTCAACAACATAGCCGTCTCCCTCAAAGGTCAGTCCTCACCTCTGGGTGCCGAGATGGGGGCGGGAGGACAGTGAGACGGTCCATCGCGTTCGTTCACCAAGAACGGGTTCAAAGCCACAGTGTGAAGGTCACTGGGAGACAGACGATGAGTGAGACCAGCCCTGGCTTGCTCCGGGACAGTTATTCACAGGGGCGTTTCTGCCCAGCCTAGGCGTCCCCTCCGCCCATGCCCACACTCACAGCCTGCCCCTCGTTTCCAGAGCGGGGCCTGGGGACCCCCGAGGGCCGCTGGGTGGGAGGGACAGCCCTGGGGCCCTGGCCTGGGCTCACACTCTCCGGGGCTCAGGTCTGAAGGAGAAGTGCGTGGACAGCCTGGTGTTCGAGACGCTCATCCCCAAGCCCATGATGCAGCACTACATCGGCCTCCTGCTCAAGCACCGGCGCCTCGTCCTCTCCGGCCCCAGCGGGACTGGCAAGACCTACCTGACCAACCGCTTGGCCGAGTACCTGGTGGAGCGCTCAGGCCGCGAGGTCACCGAGGGCATCGTCAGCACCTTCAACATGCACCAGCAGTCCTGCAAGGTGGCCGCACCCCTCCTGCCGCCCCTCGCCCTCGCCTCGCCTCTGCCGCAACCTCCCTGCCGGGCCCCCTGCCGTGGCCTCGTCTGTCTTCCCTTGGTTCTGCACGCACCCCGTGCCTCCGGCCCCATCCCTGCAGTGACCGCTGTCCAGACCGTGCCGCTCGCTCTCAGCACACCCTCTGCCCACCTTGTCAGTGCCCCCTTCTCTTTCAATTTTGTCCCTCGCCGTTCTTTCCAGGATTCCTCTCCACTTGGGGGATTTGTAGGGGGAGGCACTCAGAACTGAGTGTCCCGCCTTGTGCCGCCTGTGCCTCGTCCCCCCGAGCTCACCCACACACTGTGCGGTGGCTTCAGGCCCGCACCCCCTCGCCCCCGCCCCGGGAGGCGTGTCCATCCAGGGTGGTCCATGGAACCCACAGTGAGAATCCGTTCAGGAAAAGCGCGTGTCCCCCACCCTTGGAGAATTTGGGGGATGCTGCTTAAGGAGGCTACCTCGGGCCCTAAGGCCACTGCAGAGGCGGTCTGCTCCTGCAGTCGTGCGTCCCAGTGTGCCAGGCAGGCCCCAGGGGACCCAGGGCCAGCGCGGCTTCTACAGAACCCTTCCTCTCAGGGCGGGTGTGGCGCACACTGCTCCTGCGCGCTCAGCCCGCCCCTCTCACTCCAGGACCTGCAGCTGTACCTCTCCAACCTGGCCAACCAGCTCGACCGGGACACGGGGGTCGGGGACGTGCCCCTGGTGATCCTCCTGGATGACCTGAGCGAGGCGGGCTCCATCAGTGAGCTGGTCAACGGGGCCCTTACCTGCAAGTATCACAAGTGGTAAGCCGGCATCAGGCCGAGATCTTCTGGGGCAGGGGCAGGAGAGCCCCGTCCAGCCTCATCTGCGGGCTTCCCCTGGGGGCCGGGGGAACATGGCAGAAGGCAGTGCTCAGACAAGCCTCTGTCTTCCCACAGCCCCTATATTATAGGTACCACGAATCAGCCTGTAAAAATGACACCCAATCACGGCTTGCACCTGAGCTTCAGGTAAGACCTGTGACCCTGGATGAGCCTCCTGACCCCCCCCCCAAGTCTGTGAACCAGCCCAATCCAGGACCTGGCTGGAGAGAGAGTAGCCAGAGCCCTGTGGGCTGGAGGGGTCGGTGTGTCTGCTGCTCACTGCAGGGGGAGGGCCCTCGAGACCAGGAGAGGGCTGGGAGGGGCGGCAGGTTGCTGAGGTCCGGGGCCTCTGCCCGCACATCCTTGTCCTCTCGGGGGGGTCAGAGGGTTACCTGAGGAGGGTCAGGATCTGAGAGTCAGCGCTGCCCGCCCAGGGCTGCAGCCGGAGTTCAGCTGGCCCCACAACCGGGGGGGACAAGGCGTCCGTGGGAGGAGGGAGGAGACCCGGGCCCGCACCCCCACCCACTCCGCATGCCTGCTGCAGGATGCTGACCTTCTCCAACAACGTGGAGCCCGCCAACGGCTTCCTAGTGCGCTACCTGAGGAGGAAGCTGCTGGAGTCGGACAGCGACGCCAACGCCAACAGGGAGGAGCTGCTGCGGGTGCTGGACTGGGTGCCCAAGCTGTGGTACCACCTGCACACCTTCCTGGAGAAGCACAGCACCTCCGACTTCCTCATCGGTGCGCCCCCACCCCCGGCGCGTGGCTCCTTCCTCCCTCACCTCCCCGGCGCTGTCAGCACCATGGGCCGCTGTTGGGGGGTGACCCCCTCACTTTCCCCAGTTCAAGGGGAGGAAGGGAGACAGCATTTCGGAGGGAGATGAAAGCTGCCCTCGCCCCTCCCCTCACGCCCCCTGGGAGCGTCCTTTCTGAGACTGCCGGCCAGGCGGCAGCTCCCGGGGTCTGCATAGCGGTCTCAGCTGCCCCCAGCCCTGGGCTCTCTGACCCTCTGCCCAGTGCTGGGAGTCAGGCAATGGCTGGGGAGGGGCTGTCAGCTGTCTTCACGGCCTGTCCCCCCAACAGGCCCCTGCTTCTTCCTGTCCTGCCCCATCGGCATCGAAGACTTCCGCACCTGGTTCATCGACCTGTGGAACAACTCCATCATCCCCTACCTACAGGAGGGGGCCAAGGACGGCATCAAGGTGGGCCCCATCCTGACCCCCCCCCGGCCCAGAGGCCAGGCCGCCCCACCCAGCAAAGCAGACGCAGCTCTTCAGTGTCGGACCCCAGGCTGCTCAGACCACAGAGGCCTCCTTAGGGACAGGCGCTGGACAGACTGGTCAGCCAGGGCTGAATGCCCCTGCCCCTGGGGCCACGTGTCCAGTGCAAGGCCCTCTGGCCCTCCCCCAAACTCAGACCGCTCTCGAGGGCTCAGAGCCAATGGGGAAATAACCGAGCAGAGAAGGAAGGAAAGCCTGTTATAGCCTTAGCTCAGTACCAGCTGCTGATAAAAATGTTACTTGGGCCAAGTTACCGCACCTTTTAAATATTCTCGCATGTAAAAAAGGAGGTAATATAATTTCTGCCCTGCTTGAATCACTGGGGGCATTTGAAGGCAAATGAAATAATGTGAAAACATTGTAAAAAGTGACAATATGAACTTTGTGCAAAAGGAAGATGTCACTTTTTTAAACCTCCTCGGTCTTCTCACCTGTAAAGGAGGCGTGGTCACACTGACGTCCACCCCGCTGTCAGGAGCCAGATTCCGTGACTGCGCCCGTGGGTCTGTGCTGCACGTAAAGTTGTGTGTCACTGTAACAGGTGCCTCCTGGGGACACCAGAGATTCCTGGAGAGGCTACCTAGCAGACTGATGCCAGGACTCATGGTTTCACTTACTTTTGCGTTGTCATTAATACTTTTCCAACTTAAAAGCATCTTTATGCAGACAACATGTTTTCAACAAAGCCGAAATTTCTTTTAAAAGGTATTATTACTAAACTGGAATAATTTCTTCCCTGAAAAGTAAAATTGTGGGGTCGCAAGAATCGTACACGTTAGGTTTAACGCAGCGTGCCAGTTTATCGTCCTAAATGGTTTTGCTGACTCACCCCGATTTATTTTACCCCTTGTTGGGAAACTCAGAGAAAACCCGTGGGGACCTGAACCTCAGGCTTTACGCTTGAGGAGGTTCACCATCCGAGACCCCGTGGACGAGCCTCTCACCTGAGGCTTCCTCCCCCGCTGATCACATTTCTCCTTCTCTCCAGGTTCACGGGCAGAAAGCCGCCTGGGAGGACCCCGTGGAGTGGGTCCGGGACACGCTCCCCTGGCCGTCAGCCCAGCAAGACCAGTCAAAGCTGTACCACCTGCCCCCACCCACCATAGGCCCTCACAGCACTGCATCACCCCCCGAGGACAGGACGGTCAAGGACAGCACCCCAAGTTCCCTGGACTCAGACCCTCTGGTGAGTAGAAGCTGTTTTAACATAGAAATCAGAGGATTTCAGAACTGGACCCTCTGGGCACACCCAATGGGGCCTGGAGGCCGGGATGAGCCTGAGGCCAGCGTGCCCAGCCGGCGTTCTCACCACGTGGGAGGATCCTGGCCCAGCTAAGCAGGAGCTTAGGGCTGTCTGCGGGGCGCGTGCCCCTGGTGGAGACCGGGTCCGGGCAGAGCAGCCGGGCAGCGGACACGTTAGCACCTGCCTTCCCTACGCCTCTAGCCTGGGGGCGTCCTGCGGGTCGCTGCACCCAGCGACCTGAGGGGGCAGGGGCAGGCTGAGATACGAGACGAACCAGTGCTTGCAACCAAATGAGCATTAACACCTACTATCCACGACGCGTCCCCCAAACTTCCAGACAGGAAAACGGACAAAGGAAATGAACGGCAGCGGACCAGAGGACACGCAGAGGGCCAAGAAAACCGTCAGAAGCCCCTTGGCTTCTCTACTGATCAAGGAAACACTATTAGCACAAGGAGATGACCATCTCACGTTGGCACACGCTGTGTGTGGGTGCAGGGACCTTCCCCCCGCTGGGGGAGTGTTTGTTAGCAGGACCGTTTTGGAGGAGGATTTGGCGAATGGTGTTAAAAGCTGACCTGCCAGATCCCATGGCCTTGCAGTTTTACCTTTTGAATAGGGATTTCTTCCCCTTTAGTCATGGTATGTTTTACTTAAATTTTGGCTTCATTGAAAACAGACGTCATCTGTGTGAAAACTGGGAGACTGTGACAGTCACGTAAACAGAAGTGTGGACAGCAGGGCCAGGCGCACTTAGCCAGAAGGGAGAGTCCCTGCTGGCAGCAGGGAGGGGAACTCAGAGGAAAACAGGCAGGAGGCGAAGGCAGGGCAGGGCTGAGCCTCGGCGTGGAGCAATGGGGTCTGAGCCGCGGAGCGGCGGGTGCGGCCAGGGCGGTGGTCAGCGAGACGTTCTTTCGGCCCTTCCCGCGCTCCTCCCGGGACCGGCTGGCATTGGCGCAGTGTAACCTCGAAGGCCGAGGTGGTCCTGCCCTTTGGCCGCCCCCGGCGTCACAGCGCGGCCCATCTGCCCGGACGCTCCCAGCATCTGTTCCCCACATGCGGGCTGCACATAGAGTCAAAGCTGTCGTCGCTGCTGGTTCTGGACCCACCCCAGGCCCCCTGGGCTCCCCGCTCCACCTTCAAACCAGGATCAGACCCCTGATCTGACTTTGTATGTTTCCCTTCTGCTGGCAGGACACAAAGTCCCGACCCGCCCTCATGCGTCTTTTTGCCCCTCTGTAGATGGCCATGCTGCTGAAGCTTCAAGAGGCTGCCAATTACATCGAGTCTCCGGACCGAGAAAGCATCCTGGACCCCAACCTCCAGGCAACGCTCTGAGGGCCCAGCGGCCACCACGCGGACAGCGGCACGTGGCACCCGCCGCCCGCAGCCTCCTCTCCCCTCTCTTCCTCCAGACTCCAGAGCACTGGCTGCCCAGCCACGAGGACAGGACGGGGAGGGGGTGCGAGAGGGGCACTCCTGGTGCTGCACCTTCGGGGACTTCCTGGTGGGGCCGGTGGGCAGAGTCTGGGAACCGGCGTGCCCAGGCGCGTTCACTGGCCTCCTCACGACGGGGGGAGGATGATTCTGGGTCTTTCTCCCTGGTGTCTCGTCTCGATTACAAACTCCTGGGCTTTCTGGGGAGGGCTTCAGACTCAGAGCAAACCGCAGCAGTGCTGATTCTGACAGAAGCGCTGAGGGCACAGCCGCGCGGGGAGCCCACGGGAGGAGGAGCTCCAGGACTTCTTGTGGACCCTGCCCAACTCCGCCACCACTGCCAACAGCTCTTCCCCCAGAGATCCGGCCGGAGCCCAGAAAAAGAAGCATGTGGTTTCAAAAAGTTTAAATCAATCTAAAAAGGTTTAACAGAAAAAGGAAAAGATGAAGCTGGAGAAGAAATCCGGTTCTGAGGTCGAGAGAGGGCTGCCCGCCCTGCCCTCTGGAGGACACGGGGACGCCGAGAGCCGAGAGGACGCCAGCCTGGGGAGTCGCCAGCGACAGAGGTCCCGTGACAGCCTCGGAGCCGCACTGCCGCCCTGTCTCACACCCCCTGGCTTAACATGCATGACATCAGTAAGCCCCGCTCTTTTGTTTTTTATTTTGTTTCCATTTTTTCCTCCCATTTGCCTGTTTTTCTCCTTTTTTGGGTTTTTTCCCATTGCCCCACACGTCCACGAGGTGCTTGCCCGGCTCTTCCACGGGCTGGTTTGGCTTTTCCAAGCCGTTCTTCAGAGTCGGGTGCCATCTGGTTGGCACCAGCTAGATACCCACCATGCTGCCATCTTTGGCATCCTGGGGGCCCTCGTGGGACGTGAGGCACTGGCTCAGCGGCAGTGGGAGGAGAGTAACCCTGACCTCCCTTCGGAGAACGCATGTGTTCCAGCTCAGAGCTTGGCGGCCAGCCTTCGGTGTGAGAGTGTACCACCCCCTCTTGCTAGACCATCGGATCCGAGCTGCACCAGAGACTGGAGGAGAACTGGAAACTAGAAGCCTCGCTCTGTCTCTGGCCTGTGTGGCCCTCACTGCCCTGTCTGCTGGCGGCCACTCTGCCTGACTGAATCCACACCCCGCGCTGGACCTGCTGTTTTGGAGAGTGAATGTTCGCTCGCGAGTGGCTGTCTGTGTGAGATGCTCCCAATCTCAATATAAGGCACAATGAGTTTGGCTTGGTGGCAAAGACCTGCCTTCCAAAGGGGCCCGCCTCTTGCAGAAGCTGCCCTGGAGGCCTGGCAGTCTCAGTTCCTTCCTTCGACAAGCCCTTCCTGGGCCCCTGCTGCACACCAATCACACGTTAAGAAGACAGACTTGCGCCCTTCCGCTCAGTCTGGCGGGAAACGTGACCCTCCGTTAAGCACGCGCCCCCCTGCGCCTGAACCTTCAGGGTCATCCAAGAAATGAGCCGAAGCCCAGGGGCTGTGATGAGGCCCAGTGCGCTGGGACCAGTCCAGGTGGTGCCTGAAGGGCCGTGGAACCTCCCGTCCCCAGCGGCCAAGTCTACATCTGGCTGCTTCTGAAAGTCCCCGTGCGGCCAGAGCTCGGCTGCGCCTCCGGCGAGGCTGACGCCTGGGGCTCCGCAGACCAGGGTGTGTGTGGGGCCTGCACCTGTGGCTGCTCCTCAGATCCCCAAGTGGCACAAGACCCTGTCAGAACCTCTGGGCATACGAACCGGGACCACTCTCCCGCCAAACCCAGGAGTAGATGCCTCTGAATCTTCACATCAGAACAGTTTCATTAGGTCCCAAAGGTGGTCCAGATCGCTTCCCCAGAAGCTTCTGCATTCACCTGGGAGCTCCCAGGGAGGACTGGGCCAGAGACCACGACTGCTGCTGCCACTCGCCCTGCAAGCTGTGAGGGGCCCAGCTCAGCTGTCACTGTGCAGCTCTGCGGGGAAGAGGCCGTTTGTCCAAGGATGGTGCTGAAATCACTGCCTTAAGGCCTCTGCTGTGCAGAACGAGGAGGCCGGAGCGGGGTGCTCCCATCTGTAAGGAAGGGAGGTGGGCAGGCCTCTTCCCTGCCCCGCCCTCAGCTCCAGCCACGCAGCACAACTCCAGCTTCTACAGCCGTCTTCGTCCGGTGGTCCAGCCCTTAACTCTGCTCTCCGGTGCTGCCCAGCCAGTGCCTTCGGTCGCGGCTACTTGAGAAAAAGGAAAGGGTTGTGAACCCCTTCCTCCACTCCAACTGCCTCACACTCCCCCAGAGCGATTCCTGCCTCCCTGGTAACCATGGCGACCACCGTGGGTTTCACCTGGGTCCTCTGCAGGTTGGTTCTGAAGGTCATCTCAATTCCTGGGCCCAACCGCTCTGCTGTCAGTGAACCACTGCGTTTAGCCCGGGGTTCCCATTGCTTCCCTCCCCGGGGTGTGTCCCCCTCCAGGGAGGTGGCACTGCAGCCCCAGCTTTCCCCTGGGGGCCTGGGAGCCTGTTTACAGCTGAGGCTGTGCCCTGGCCCGTGGCTGTGGGCATCAGTCGTCTCCTGAGGAATCGTGGCTGCACGGCAACTGCAGAAGGTCAGGCCCCCTCTTGGTGCTATGACCCCTCGGGACGCTCGCTCAGGCTTCTCTGAGGCTGAGGTGTGAGCTCCCTCGCTGCCCCAGAAGCACCGGCAGGAGCGGATCTACGGAGTTCGCTCCCCCTGCACACCTGCTTCTTGGGCGAGACCACTGGGATCTCTCGGAAAAGGAAAACCGGGTCCCAGGGCTGAACTCTCAACCCCGGGCACCTTCAGAAGAGTCCGGCCTCTCTTAGACGGGGCGTGTGCCCCCCTCCTCTCAGCCCTCGGCTCCACCCCTCACTGAAGCTGGCTAGCAGATGACCCGCTTCTCCCCCCGCCACCCGCTCCCTGGGATGGCCGCGACTCCAGGAGGGCGCCCGGTGCCACCGCTCGTCTCTGGACACAGGAGACCAGCGTGTTTTGTCCAGTGTGTGTGTCCTCGGCCCCTGCCTGAGCACAGAAAATAAAGCAGTAGGTCGTTGGCGGCTCAGAGAGGACCTGATGTCTGTGTGTGTCTCACGAGAGCAGTTTCTTGTCGCTGTTTCCTATCTTCCCAGCTTCAGATTTTTAAAACCCTCTGCTCCATGGCAGCTCTGCGGTGCTTATCTCTGTGCGATTCTCCCACCAACGTCTTTCTCACGTGGTCTAAGCTCGGGGAAGCCAGAGGCTGGCAGGGAAGGATTTGCTCAAGGTCTTTGGAAAGACCCTAGCAGAAGTCCTCCTCGGTTGGGATGCCAGGTTTTGTTTTGAATTACCGGCCTTACGACCAGTCTACCCGTGCTCCTTAAGGACTTAAGACGTAACAGTGATTTTCAGTTTTCATTTCTTGCCTTCTGGTTTTCCTGGTTGGCAAGACTCCAAATGGGCCTAGTGTCACCATCGCTTCCCTTCTGTCTCCCTGAGACCAGGGCACACAGTCCAGACAGACACCCGCTCAGTCTCAGGACTAGCGAGAACACTGACCATCTCCCATCGTGTTCAGGAAGGGCGGGCAGCGGCGACTTGCTCAGCAGCACCGCGCGTCGTCACCGGGGTGGCGCCCACACACGGAAGCCCCGGCCTGGTCCTGCAAACCAGGATCGCAGAGGGACCCGAGTCAGGCCTGAGGACTCTTCCCTGCAAGGTGTTTGGGAGAGGAAGCCG